GGCCCTCCCCGGCGGGCCCTCCCGGGGGGCTCGGTCCTGCCGGTCCTTTCCTGGGGCTCTGTCCTGCCGGCCCTTCCTTGGGGCCCTGTCCTGCCGGCCCTTTCCTGGGGCTCTGTCCTGCCGGCCCTTCCCTGGCTGCGGAGCGGAGCGGCGCTCCCGGGCCCGGTCAGGCCCCGCTCCTGCCCCGGGAGGAGGCCGGGTGGCCGCGGCCCCTCGCCGGTGTCACCGGAGCCCTGTGTCCCGAGTGGGGGTTTCCCGGCAGCTCCCGGACGGGCGGCCCTTGGGAAGAGGCTGCTATGGAGGGAGCAGCTCCACGTGTGCCCGTAAGCACCCCAAAGTGGAGACGCCTTCTGGACAGCCCCCCTCTCCCTCCCGTGTGGGGAAACAGAAAGTGGAGCAGGCAATACCTAGAGGTCCCACAGCCTCCTTTCCATCCTGGCTCTCGCTCTCTCTCTCTTTTCCTTCAGCAATCTTCCCAGGTGATCCTTATATCCTCCCCTCTCTGCCTTTACCACAACCTTGCCCAGTGCTGCGTATGCCTCACCAAGCGCTCCTTGTTAACCTTTAATGTTTGGCCTCGGAAAATCCCTTTATCTCTCAAGCAATCAGCATTCTTATTTTCATCCCTGGCCAACCTTTCTTCCTATTCCTTATTCCCCCCACGTGTGCTCGTCCGCTGCAGCGGTGCCAGCGTGGGGACACGGGTGGATGTGGGATTGGAGCACCTGACACGAGAGCAGAGGCTGGGAGCTGCGGCCGCGTGGCCTGGCGACGGCGCAGGGGGATCTTCTTGATGTGCCCAAATATATGCTGGAGGGAGTGGAGGGGATGGAGAGGCGGGCTGTGACAGGAAAAGGGGCAATAGGCACAAACCGAAACACAGGAACAGAAGGAGAATCTTTATTTGAGAGCAGCTGAGCACTAGCGTCCTCCAGGGAGGCTGCGGAGCCTGCATCCCTGACGGCGGATGAAGCGGGTGGGCCACGACCCGGGACAACCTGCTCTGTGTGGGACCGGGTCGTCTCCAGAGCTCCCTGCAGCCTCAGCTGCTCTGTCCTTCTGTCATTTGGAATTAGCCCCTAAGAAGGGAAAAAAAGAACAACCACGATAACACCAAGGAGAACTATCCCGCCAGCCAGGAGAACGATCCTGTAGAGCATGGATGTGCGTTTGGCCCTCTCTTCCCCGGCTGCTCTGCGCTGCTGCATGCGACGCTGCGCTCTCTCCTTGGTTAACGAGGGCTCCAGGTACATCTCGCTTTGGAAGTAGCCTCCTCCCTTCTCCTGCACCAAGCTTTGCTCCATGCCCTCCAGCTGGGCAACCTGCTGCTCCAGCTAGGCCCCTGTTGTTGAAGCCGCCGTACCCATTCCCGCACCTCCTCACCAAGTCGTGGAGGGCTCTGTTGTCCAAATACCGCACGTAATCCTGCAGCGACCCCCTCCCACCAAATCTTCCACCCGGGGGAACAGGACGATCGTGCGACTCAGAACCTCAGGTCCAAAAATGTCCTGCAGTGTCTGCACGGCCTCGTCGTCCTCCTTCGTGAACCGGCCCAGCTGTGTCACCAGCAGCAGTGCATGGGGCCCTGGGGAGGGCAGCTCGATGCAATGGATAATTTTGCTGTACAAGTTACTGCTGACAGATCTTGGGTCAAAAATATCGGCTGTGTCAACCACCGTGATGTCCTTGCCATGTC